TACTAGATTAAGGGCCTGTCCTATCAAATTGTAAATAGTCTGATTACAATCTAAGGTGTAAAATATGTGACGGAAATATCGGATGTTCCCGTATATGACAGTGACGTCATTATTAAGCAATCTGAGTGTCCCCGAGCCAGTGGTGGCACAAGCCTTAACTCTAACAGAGAAAATTAAACGAAATCATACATAAAATCAGGTTAAAGGCAGATAAAGGCTGGTGGTGGTGGTGGTGGTGCTGGTGATGATGATGATGATGATGATGATGATGATGATGTTGATATACCCTAAACACCCTCAGCATTTCTACGTTTGTAATCTTGTTATAGCTTCTTTTTAAGCTACAATTTTCTACAAGGTTTCTACACCCATCATGTCACGTATAACAAAGGTCACATCAAACGTGAAGTAATAATTATACGAATAGTTCCTCAATATATCAATGGTAACTTAACAATAAAACATTATGCTAATGCTTAGTCTATTAACCACCATGACGTCACAGTATGAGATAATGTAGATAGTAGAGTAGCATTATTGTGATACATTTACTGAGATTTAAGGACTGTCCCTCCACTGGTTGATAGACGCTGTAACTTAAGGAAACAAAATCCGATATTTCCATCATATATTCCACAGGTTCGATTGTTATCAGACAGTTTACATTTTGGTGGGACAGGCCTTTAATCAAATAATGCAGGACTTTCCGTAATTGTTCACTAATTCATTTAGAATAGTATTGTCTCTTTCATTCTCTATGAAAACTGTGATAGATTATTTTTATATCGATTTTAAAACAAATTACTGTTTTATCTCAAGTCAAGAATTTCCAGTATCAATCCATTTAATTTTTTTATTCATGTATTGTAATATTTAAAACGTAAAAAGCATGATACGAATTATAACTAACAATAACAAGCTTTTATAAGCACACTACAAAGGATCTAATTTAAACCTTTGTTCCACTAACCATTTGTTTTTAGTATAGTTATGTAGGAAAACCTATGATTCATGTGATTAAATCCGTGTCCTGTATTCTCGTTACAAGGTCACCCTTAATGAAGGTTAGAGTTTCGACATAATTGTGAGGGAAAATTGTTGATCTCATTTTGTTTTTAATGTCATTTTCATTCAAACCTTTTTCGTGAGACCCTTTTTTAGAAGCAGGTAAGCGATACGGAAAAGTTTTTATTCCCGAATTGAAAGGGAAAATTCAGCATTTGCTATTTACATTTAAAACAAATGCAAAACTGATTTCCTTTTTATTCATGTCACTCACATTTTAAAATCAAGTAAATGATCGAAAACAAAATTTCGTTTCAAATTGTTATACTGCACAGAGCACTGCACCTTTCTCTAAACCACGATAGAAAGCAAGGACGAGTGAGTGTCAAGCCGAATTATTACGACACTGAGATAACCTGCGTACAATTAAAATTAATGCACGGTGCTACTGGCGTAATGCTTATCTTAGCTTACTGCACAGTCTATGTGCTCAACTCATCATCATCATCATCACCAGCTCACTATACGACTGCACCGAGGGCCTCGGAGCCTACCTTAAGTAAGTGGTGAATAGGCCATAGTCAACCACGCTGGCCCACTCCGGGTTGGTTGACTACACACATATCTTTGAATTCCTTCACCGTAAGAACTCGGGTAAATTATGTATTAATGAAAATAAAAATAATGCCAATTTACGAGTAATTGCCTTGTATACAAACAATTACATTTGGTAAAAATGCGAGACATTACTATGCGTTGTCATTGACACGGTTTCAAGTTTGTCGTTATGATTTACAACCAATGCCGTTGTAGTATTCCGGAAATTGCTCGCGATACTGAAGCGATGTTGTTGCGATATTGCTCATCGGTTGTAATTTAATTTTTAAGACAGTTTGTTTTAATATATGTACGTTTCAGTATTTAAACATATGTACAAAAATGTGATTTTAACAATTATTAACATAATTAAGTAATACCATAGATATAGAGTAAAAAAATTAAGTACCCAAAGAATCTTGAAATTTAATAAACTTTAAGTTACGATGTATTTGTCCTTTAGGGAAATAATTTGAGATATTACAATATAAATTAAAGTCTAAAAATAATAAAAAAACAATAACATTGCAATAAGTTGTCTCGTAGTTGTATCGCTTTATGTTATCAGAATAACTCCAGAGGTCATTCAACGGAACGTTACGTCAGACGCATCTCAATCATGTGACTGGTTTGTTTTGCTTCTACACGTCTCGTTTGCACATCACGATACTTGATATAAATTGCTAAGTTATAGTTAAGTGATAAGAGTCCATTGTTACTAAAGGATAGTGGGTACGAATAAAAAATTGAAACAAAAACATGTTGAAAAACTTTTTAAATTAATTATTGTTTACAAATAGATACGAGATAGATTTCTATTACATTTTTTTATTACTATGGATAGATGCAGTAAAAAAAATGACTGAAATGTAATAGATCGATTTGGAATTTAAACGATGAAGACTTATTCTGATCCTTCTAAGAGTGAAATGAGAACATTTACTTTAATCTTCTTAACGTTAGAATTTTAATTTGTAAAATACTAATATTGTCACGTGACCGTGCTCGTGCACGTATTTTAAGTTAGTTGCATTTTGATTATAAGTCGTAAACCTGTTAGATTTAGGGTAACCACATATTAGTTGATCATGCGCTGGTTCCGTGCAAACTGAATACATACATTACAGCCTTGACTCGCTTTACATTTATTACGTTTTTTTGCCGCCAGATTGCGTTAGGTTAGTGACGACTGAAATTCTTTAAATGCTTGCTATCTTCAGGTACAATTGGAATATTTGGTGGCGTGGTTTGTTTGTTAGGATTTAAAATCTACAATCGTTTGAATGTTTTTTACTAATTGGGACGAAACAAAAACAAATAGGATGTAGCTATTAAATGTTTCTATTTCTAGGCGAATTGCTTTGTATTATTATTCCGTATTTTGCGCAACTCACTGCTTCTTAGAAGAAGTTACAAGATTAGGTATTTTTTTTTGTAAGTGGAACACCGCAGATTTCCGGGAGTGTGCTTGCGTTTAAGAGATAAACATGGTTGATGTAATATATCAATCATTTGTGAAGCTATATGTACAGACGGCTTCATAAATGTGTATACACTTACCATAGCTACAAAAAAATGTAAGATAGGTTTCAAAATTCGGACAGTATCAGAAGCTAAGGAGTAAAAGGTTAGCAAGGTATGGGCATGTTATGAGGAGGGATGAATCGCATGTAACAAGGAAAATGTTAGTTATGAATGTGGAGGGGTACACCGGTAGAGGTAGACCTAGAAAGAGATGGATGTATTTAGTGAAAGGGGGCATGATTGTGAAGGGAGTGATGAAGGCGTATCAAAGTTTGTAAAGTTTTATAAATGCATACATATGCAGCTGACTGTACTAATCTTAAAGAATTGCAAATTATATTCGTTGTAGTGTAACGTGTTTGAAGTTTAGAATATTTTTAAATACATAATACCGCGCAATCACATCTCAACGAGTCACGTAAACACGCGAAATCCTTTAAATCCTCGCTTACATTTCTCTAAAGTCGTGTCACCGTGTCACGCTGAAAAATGTTTGTTTTTAAAACGTGTTTTCTGTCCCGTTTTAATACTTTGCTACCATATATCTGACTGTAGCTTTCGTGCGAAGTGATACTACCTAACCAAGTGTTGTGTTGTTTTAGACGCTCAAAGCTGTTTATTTTTAACGAATACTCACCTGTGAATTTAGGTTCATTTGTTTTTTTTAAATCTGAATATTTATGTTACTGGCCAGTTTGAATTCCCTAATGTTGCTAGGCTATTAAATTTTTAATGAAACAATTAAGAGAGATAGAGAATAAATTGGTCCAGATTGACCCCACGATCCTCCGAAGTGGTCCAGGTTGACCCTCTAGGACCACAGAAAACTCGCTGGAAGTGTAATAGCAGGAAGTAAGTTATACATTATTTAATGAAGAATTTTTAGTAGCGAGTTCATCGAAACAATTAAACTTTGAAAGGATTCTACGAGAGAAAAGTTTGAGAATCTCTGTTTAACTGAATAAAAAAAAATACATTTGATGTAGTGTCCGTTTTTTCGGATTTAAATTATTTTATTCTTTACAACAAAGAACATAATAGACACAATAAGCGAGTTGTCTACCTAAGTGCACTTAAGCGCCCTCTATCGCGCCGTCTCCTAACATTTTCATTAAAAATTTATTCTATTTTCTCGTGTTACTTCGCCTCTAGTTACCGCCTGCATTTTGTGCAGAGCTAAATTTTAGACCAAGTGTTCTTAAGATAAGCTTAATACAGAATTGTAAAAAAAGAAATACTTTATTATATTATATTAAAAAAGCTATATTTGGTACGTACTGTTAAGAAACAAATCGGTATCTTGCTGGAGTAGCGGCGCAACACTACATCATTGCCATACACGTCCCATCCCTATGACATCTGTCAATGTCAATCTAAATTAAGGTTAAGCGCGCCATTCCTGGCGGGAACGGTGGATTGAGTATCGAAAAATAATCGCGTTGTTACAATTTTATTATTGTCTATAAGTATGTAGTACCGTTCGATACAATTATAGTTAATAAACTCTTGTATTCTAAACAGTACATAAACCAGCGGATTTTCACTGCCTAAATAAATATACATAACATGTTGTATTCTCTCTTATTCTTCTAAAAACGTATATATTCTTAAACATGGGAACCAGCATGAATATTTTCGAGGGAGTTTTTGTAATCGTAAGTATGAGACTAACCTCGATGACATTATGTAGTGCTAGCCCTGTTTGTTTCGGAAGTTCACTTTTATTTAATTAATCTAAAACGATTCGAATTGATCTTTACGGCATGAATAAGAAAATATATGAATCTTACATTCTTTGCCACTTAGGGGAAGCTAGGGGGATCGTTAGTGATTAATATTTTTAATTTTTAATACCATGTGTTGTTTTGTTTCAGATTAGCAATGATGTACAGATTTCAGTACGCAGTTTGCTTCTTGCTCGTGAGTCTGTCTGTTACTTGTAAGTATCGATTTTCTTACGTACTTTTATATTCTTCTGGGTCAAGGTTTTATTTCATTGTTTTCTTACCAAGTCTATTGAAACTATTCTTTGTTTAAATGTATACTATTTTATAGAATAAAGAAATAGTTATCTTTGTTACACAGTAATTAGTTGTCTGCAGTTTTGTTTAATCTCCGCGCAGACTGAGAGGTTACGTTACTTACTTAGAGGTTACTTAGAGGTTTAATTTATTGATTTTTCATACTAAAAGTAAGGTCCTTCTATAGTTCAATTTACCGTTACAGAGTTTTCAAGCAAGCGGCCACATAAATTTGGCAATTTAGCGAAGTATTTGCAGCTCATTGACATTCAAATTTAGGTCTCATGCACGCAATTTCATCAGATTAAACGGTTTATAACAGCAAATATTATCTTTAAAAAAACTAAATAATAAAAAAACTAATTCAAATATCACGTATTGTCAACAAATATTAACAAAAGAGTAACTTTAATATCGCATTGTTTGTCTTTAAATATAAAGGGAAAGTAATTACTTTTTAAGGACGAAATATTATCCTTAAGTCGGAGATATTTATGACTCATTGTATGTCCTTCTTTGATGCTGCGTTAATCCTCCCTTAGAATGGTAAAAGGAATTCAAGATAAAAGCGCCTTATCAACACAATAATGCTCCGTCCTATAGACCGTATAACTTGCGGATTTGAGCGGATATCTTACATGGACAGTTGAAATGCACGCACGTCCGAACTGTTTTGATACTTTTTGAAAATAAATTTTAGTTAATTAATAAAAAAAATTCTTATTTCTACTAAAGAGTGTAATTAATTATAAAGCATAATTACAATCACTTCCTTCCAAACGTTTTGATCTTCAGTAACGAAAACATCAGGAAAAAACTAGTGCCTTTTATGGTCGTGTGCTATAAGAAAAAACAATTTTTGAAATTCACATCTATTTTTGAAACACTTGCAAGTGTTGAAGTAAAAGTATCAAGAAATATGAATCGCAATCCACAAGGTATAAGACGAATGATGCGATTAAGTTGAGCAACTCGGAGCCTTGATAGCTGGAGGTACAATTGCTTTGCTACGCTCCTATCCGCTACATGCATTATACATTTTCAACTACGCTACAAGTAAACAAAAACAAATTAAAGACGCGAGCAAACACAATTTGTTAATTAAAAAAAACAAAATCACAAAGACATTGTTGTTTTTGTTTTTGACTTCATATACTAGACGTTGGGTAATAATTATAAAATCATTAAATAAAAATAATTGTGCAATAATAAGTGCAATTTTACTTGTTCCAGATACAAAAGATATCCCAAGAGTTCCAATCAGCGATGATATATCTACGTTAACTACAGACTATAGCAGTGATGGTACATTCGAAAATTTGGAAGATCAATCAATTGCAAGTGATTTAGAAGACACGAGAAATCAAGAAAGTAATCCTTTGATAGAAGATGTAGAAATAAACGACGGAAATATCATAAGAAGATTTAATAGCAGTCAATCTTTTAGGACATTAGAAAGTGCTTCCAGAGTCTTACTTCCAACGAATTATAACCATTCTATAAATGATGTGTTATACGAAACGAAACCGGAGAACGTATCAGAGGTTACAAAACATAGAAAGAATACGGAAGAGAACGATTTTCGTTCACCTACTTATAAAGAATCAAAAATCAGAGCACATGTTAAATACGACGAAGTTACAGGCGAATTGATAAATGAGGATCATCCTTGTGAAAGAGAATGTATAGAAGGAGATGAACCTATGGTTTGCCATTATCATTTTAATCTGGAATGGTATCAGACAATGAGCAAAGCTTGTTATGATTGTCCGTACAATTTAACGGATTGTAATAGAATTGACTGTATCCCTGCAGATGGTATGAGGAGAGCATTAAACGTTATTAACAGAAAAATGCCTGGACCTGCTATAGAGGTAAATGATTCATTCTTTGTCACGAAAGTAGCTGTGTTGATCTGTGTAGATTTAGACTGACTACTATCTTACGAATTGTATTGTTTCATTTTATTATTACAATTCTTTCTAGGTCTGTCATAATGATATCATTGTGGTTGATGTGGAAAATGATTTGATGACTGAGAGTACAACAGTACATTGGCACGGGCAGCATCAGAGAGGAACTCCGTACATGGATGGAACTCCATACGTGACGCAGTGTCCTATTTTACCGGAATCAACATTCAGGTAATAATAAAAATACTCTGAAGAACTCAGAAAAAAACGTAAGAAGGGAAGAGAAGTAGTTACCAGTATGGAATAGGAAAGGCCAGAAAACAATTGAGGTCTTACCTGAAAGTAATACTACCATCTTGTTTTATTAAACAAATTATTTTATTTGATATTTCATGTTACTAAATTTATGGAACAAATCTGTATTTTTTTTTTATATTTAAGGTACAAGTTTAACGCCACGCACGCTGGTACACATTTCTGGCACTCACATTCCGGCATGCAGAGAGCTGACGGCGCGGCTGGTGCCCTGATAATCAGAAAACCCAGGACCCTGGATCCTCACGGCCAGCTCTATGACTATGATAAGTAAGCATCTGGAGTATTAACTTATTGCTGATGTATTTGTTGTTGAAGCGACATTTGGTGGCTTTGTTTTCTAATTTGTGTTAATGTGACATTTTTTTAAATTAATGAGAATACCAGCTATTAATATAGATTTAAATTCTGTCACACAATTTTGATATAAGTAGATTTGATAGGCTGTTTTTTTTTGTAACGAAAATAATGTTAATCTGTGGTGACGGTTTGTTAAAGCAACCTTGACCTACATTTATCGCCGTCAATACATTTTATTACATAGAACAGAATGTATTCTGGTATCCATCAATTATTACTTTTAAACGATGTGCTTTGTTTTATCGGCTTTTGTTTTATTTTCTCTTTCAAATTGTTAAACCGCTAAGGTATTATAATTGATCTGAATTACTAAAAATAATGGGTTTACCCTAAATATTAGGAAAGTAGTAGGAAGTTGGCTTTTAGTTTTTTGTTACAAGGTTTTCTAACCATGTTAGTTTAATGGTGATAGATGACCAGAGATGACAATCCAGGTCGACTGAACTCATTTATGTAAGAACTAATTTAGATTAATGTAAGAAATGGTAGGTCGTGGTTCGGTTTTTAATATTAGGCAATCGAGAATAATCTATTAACCATTGGACAAAATACATTGATACAGATTTAGATCATAGTATTTTCAATTCAAATTTTGTCTTTTATAAATCAAAATTGACTAATGCAACAATAGGCGTAGAATACAATTGTTCTTAAAAGTTTGAAATTAATCCCTAAATTAAGAAGTACGGCGATATCGCAAATAAAACACATAATAGAGTAATAATCATCTAGAAAGTAGAAGACAAACCTAAAACCAATATCCAAAAATAGTCAAATTGTGCGTTAATAGCTGAATAATTGTAGCATTGACAAAATCTTCTTTATTTACTGATACACACTCTATGTACAAAAATTGGTAAATTGCATTTGATAAAATAAAAAGTTGTTACATTGCTCGCTTCACATTTTTCTCTTCTACATTCAAATTTCTTTTTAAACACAATTTTTGTCTATTGTTTTCTTGGCGGCCAGCATGATATTAATTATTAACAACAATGTTTTGTTTCAGATCAGAGCACGTAATGATAGTAACTGACTGGATTCACGAATTATCAGTGTCTATGTTTATGGACCATCATCACTCTATTGGCGACAACAAGCCTCCTACGTTACTGATTAACGGTGTCGGACGCTTTAGGATATTTAATGAGACCACCGAACCTAGATATATGAAAGCTGCTACCTTTAACGTTGATAAGGTGGGTACTTCGATATTACTTTAATCCTATCCCAGTACCTATTAAGACAGTGTCTTCAGGAAGTGACTCTATTTTGGGTTCAGCGCTTGGTTTCTTCTTCTGGGGCCATCTCCTAACGAAGGTTGGCAATCATCATAACAACTTCAGACCCAGCAGCTTGCATACTTTTGTTGTACCGTTGGTGAAGATTTTTAAGCCAAGATGTTCTTCCTTTTTCTGTATTAGGTCCTATCCTATAAATACAGTTATTTGTAAGGTTACTTAGTGTACTAGAATAGGAATTCAAGTATCTATCACTTCTATGACCTAGAAGGATCTAAGGGTTGTGTAATCATTTTTTTTAGTATGGTCTTTAGATTGTGTTCTTTTGTTTCAGGGTTTTAAGTATCGTTTCCGTGTGATCAACGCCGAATTTCTCAACTGCCCTATTGAGTTATCAGTTGACGACCACAACATAACAGTCATTGCGTCAGATGGTTATGATTTGGAGCCTATAACTGGTAAGTTGGAGGATATTTTCATTTTTTTTAAACTATTCTCTATCTTTACTTATCCGAAACTCTGAGTTTCTTGACAAGGGTTTTGTTTACAATTAATTTATAATTTTTAGCTACATCGCTGGTGACGTACGCTGGTGAGAGATACGACTTCGTGCTCGACGCTAGCAATAATGTTGACAACTACTGGATACGATTCAGAGGTCTCATGGATTGCGATGAAAGGTAAAATTTTTGAAGATTAAAAAACTTCTGTTACTGTAAATCAAAAAAATATTTTAACTTAAGACTGGCCTAATTTAAGGGAAATGGAAGTAAATTGTTTTAAATTATTTGATAATAAGATTAATATTTATTGCAGATTTACGAAAGCTAAGCAAGTGGCAGTATTACATTATGAAGGAGCCCCCGACGTGGAACCTGAAGGCGACCCGACATGGGAAGAGTTGCATAACGAAGGACTGGTAACAATACATTCAATTTTAAAATCACTGACATAATAGGTGTGTAAAATAAGCAAAAGAAAACTGCGAAATAGATAATTACAAGTGCTGGATTCTTTGGGCTTAGGTGTTAGACTTAATTCTAGATAGTAATTTCTATCTATAAAGGAAGCTGCCAATAAAAAAGTAGAATTTTTATAGCAATCTTTATGATCCTATATCTAACAGTAACTCATTTTTCCCAGCAATTAAACGCACTGAATAAAGGCGAAGAGGAAAATGAAACGATAAGCGTCGCCGAAATGAGGTCGCTCCAGGGCTACGACGACAGCCTGAAAGAAATCGCCGATTATCAGTTCTATGTCGCTTACGATTTCTACGCTAAGAACAATTCGCATTTCCATAGATCACCTTACTATGGTTATTATCAAGGTAAGTTGTATTTTATATATTGCAGATTCTAAATTTGATGGTATTTCGTGAAGCCTCATAGAAATTATACTAATATTATAAATCCGTATTTTGAACGGCACAATAGTTGTTAAAATTTGGCATAGACGTACAACATAGTCTGAAAGAATACAGTGGATATTTGCTAAGTTTTTTTTATTTCCACATGAACATAGTCGCAAAAGCTAGTGGTTTATTAATAGACCTTTTATCATTTGCAAATTGGCACAAAATTTTATTTGAAATGAAATCTAACTGTAACTAATGAATTTTGCTTATTGTCTTGTATCTTACTTATATTATAAACACGAATGTTTAGATAGATGGATGTTTGTTAGAGTTTGTAGCCTAAACGGCTGAACGGATCTCGATGAAATTTGGCATAGATGTAGAACACATAGGCCACTCATTTTTGTTTTTTTTTTTTACTCCACGCAGACAATAGTAGTTAATAATAAAATGCTTTTGTTTTAGTTCCACATAAGGATAACCGTTTATATACACCTCAACTTAATCACATCAGTATGAAGATGCCATCCAGCCCACTCCTCCTCGACAGACCTTCGCCGGACAACTTTTGCAATATGTCTAGCATCAGTGAGGACTGTAAAGAAGGATATTGTGAATGTTCCCACGTACTCTCAGTCAAGAAAAATGCTGTAGTGGAAATTATTATCGTTGATGAAGGTGTGACATTTGACGCGAACCATCCTTTCCATTTACACGGTCACAATTTTAGAGTAGTAGGAATGAGACGTTTAGCGAATGATACAACGATAGAGGAAATCAAAGAATTTGATAAAGCAGGGTTGTTAAAAAGAAATTTAAAAAATGCACCGCTTAAAGATACTGTTACTGTTCCTGATGGTGGTTATACTGTTATTAGATTTAAGGCTGACAACCCTGGATATTGGTTGTTCCATTGTCATATAGAGTTTCATGTTGAAATTGGTATGGCGTTAGTATTTAAGGTTGGTGAACATAAAGATATGGTTCCTATACCGCCTGGTTTCCCACAATGTGGTAGTTATATGCCAGATCATAGTATGGAAGCTACAGAAAAACCTAAAACAGACAGTCAATATATTTCCATCAATCATTGGTGGCCTGTCGTATTAATGAACAATAACAGTACCTCATCAACTTCGTGTTTAGATTCTGTGACTGCGTTAGTGTTTCTCTCCTGTTTTTGGTTATTGAAATTAGTTATTGGTACGTAGTTTAAAAAATTAGGTATTTAATTTTAAGATAAAGCCCGCTACACACGTTAGATTTATCGAAACATTATTAGGATAAAACTGAGCGTAGCAGGCTTAACATTTCGTAAAACGAATTCATTGGTATTATGTAGGTTAGAGTTTTTGTACTTACAGACTTCAGTATCCAATCCAATATACGCGGTATTGTATATAATTTATCATTATTATTTATTGGGCTGTACTTATATTTATTGATGTTATTTTTGTTAGCAAACCTCACATGAGACTTTCACGTCATTTTAACACTGGTAAACTATAACTTTTTTTTAAACAACCATTATAGGTTAGAAATGTGAATATACCAATAAGTAGGTTCTTATGTAGATTGTCAAGTGAGAAATTAACAATTTCTCTTATAAAAATTGTATTGATTTTTGAGATTTATAATATCTTGATGTCATGTACTTTATAATGTAACGAGTTGTCGCCTGTAAAATTCGTTTGCGCAAATTTGTACCATCCGTTACGCCATTTTGACAGCGCGGAATTTTAAAAAAAGTTCCCTATAATATGCCCGTCTATGTCAGCTACCCTTCAGTGAAAGTTCGGTCGAAATCGGCCCAGCCGTTTCGGAGATTACCCAGAACAAACGTGGCTTGCGGACAGACAGTCAAAAAAAAAATTAAATGCAATTTTTGTATCAGCAACGCAAATACATCATCCTCTGAAATCTGGAAGTTTTCTTTTGATATTACAGACACTTCAATTTTATTATATGTATAGATGACAAGCTTGATCTTAGAATTGTCAAACGTACCCAACTGTAACATAAATATTGACTCCTAGTTTAAAAATCTTTACTAAAGCTAAAGGAGAGTTCAATAGAAATTCTGTCAAATTATTTTAAGGCCACACCAAAGTCGAAACATTAGTTACATAATGAGATTGAAATAATGTAAAATGCTTCGTTTACAAACGTTGGATTTCCTTGTGATAGAAACAATGTGTGACTTGCCGTATAAAAGTTTCGAAGTACATTTTAAGAAAATGTTTTCTAACGAATTGTCGATAATGTCGCTGATGATATGTGATATTACTTAGTTATTGTAAGCTAAAATTTAAGTTATTAGTGTTAACTTATTTAAGAATTTTGCAATTAAAAGTATTACAAGCAAAACATTGTATTCATTCCACGAAACTAGATTTTATTACTATCCCTCTACTTCTTACTAATATAATAAACTAGCTGTTCCCGTGCGGCTTCAAACGCATGAAATTATGAAAATTTTATTTTATTACTTATATTTGTCAAATTATCAATAGCAAATGTCAAAATGACATGACATGACAAACCTTAGCAATCTTGCTTTCTTGATGTTGGCAGCAACTTATAGTCTCTTTCCCACATTAGGGTTTTTATCCTAAATATTTACCCCCTAAGTTTAATGTCGTGAAAATATCTAGCCTAAAGCGTGACGTAAGTGTAGGTCTTTTTATTAAAAATGAATTATTCAAAAATATGCTGTAATTGCTGACATCTTAGGCAACAAAGATGTGTGTTTTTACACTTTATTATAATAGTATAGATATACTCGTAGATGGGAAAGTTTAGATGGATGGAATGGTTGTTTGGTTGCTAGAATTGCAGTCTAAACTGCTGGATGGATCTGGATGAAATTTGGCATAGATGTAGAACATAGTCTGCAAGAACACGTAAGCTACTTTCTTTTGTTTTCAATTCCACGCGGATATAGTCGCTGGCGAAATCTATCTTTAAAAAACCAGAGATGTCAATTAATGTAATACATGTGTAGTTGTATAATTTTCCGATAAATATACTACATTAACATAGTTAAAATTGCAATTAGTAAACAGATTTACAACAATGTAGTGTGTAAAATCCTTAACTCGGCACACGTTTTTACAAATTTCCACACGAAACCATTACAGTTTGCAAAAGTTCTACCGTTGGTTATTTGTATAAAGTAACATGTACATTGTACTTTTTTTATTCATCCACTATTCTGAAATATCTAGGTAGGGTGCCATTGCAAGCGGAAACATACGTTTTTTTAATCTGTTCGGCAATATAAAATTGTCATATTTAAAGTCGATAATACAATTAATGTGAACCGTTTAGTTTTTGAAAACTATATTATACCAGTTGGTGCTCGCGACCTCGCCTGCGTGAATTTAAAAATAAATAAAAGTTGCCTATGTTACTCACTGATAACGCTTTTTAATGGTGAACGAATTTTAGAAATCGACTATCACTAATTTTAAAAAACTACTTGTTTTTGAGTTATTTCAAAATGTAGAAAAATACAAATCTTTCCTCAATATAGATTAATATAGATGTTAATAATATTATAAATGCAAATTTCGATAGATGTATGGATGTTTGTTAAATTTTGTAGCCTAAACGGCTGAACGGATCTCCATGAAATTCGGCACAGATTTAGAGGATAGTCTTGAAGAACACAGAGGATATTTACTTACGCTTTCGTGTTTTTAAATCCACGCAGACGGAGTCGCGGGGGAAAGCTAGTAGGTACATATTTTGTATACAGCAAAGGCGACATTTTTATTTTAGCATATTTTTATGAGATAATAATGTCGGAGTGAATAATGACTACTTACGTAAGGAAGAGCAAAATTTTGAAACGTAAATACATTTTTTATTTAGTGCATGGTTCAGTTGGGACCCACCACATCTAAGTTACGACGGAATCCACATGTCCGGTGTTCCGCGGTATCGTACGTTTAATTTTGTTTATTCATACGTTGCAGATGCGTTCATATTTGAGTGGGCATGTAAACATAAGGAGAAGTCTCGTGGTATGTAAAAAGGAATAAACGAAATGCATAACTTATAAATACGAAGTAAGACTGTTGTATTTTTAACAGACTTCAAAAAGGAGTTTCTCAATTTGTATGGTCTTTAAGAGAGGGCGCACACGTTTGACTAAATTATCGCAAAACTGTTTAGTCGTGCTATAATTCCTATGAGCTTATATGGAGGTGCGCACACTCGATTTTTAGTTGTGCAACTAAACAGTTGAATTGGCTGAGAAACAATCTACAATCGCACAGCAATTGTGTGCTAGTTTAAAAGTGCGTGACCGCTCTAAAATGGAAATAGAGATCTATGTTGTTTACAGTCATCAACGGTTAACGATCACTGAAGTGTACTCTTAGTGTGTATTTTGAAACTAAATCTACCCTAAAAGTCTGTTACAGTGACCATGAATCTCATCTCGGTGAGACAGATAATATTGGAAATATCTTACTTAGAAAGATATAGATATATTTATTTCTACTACTATTTTTTAACATAAATAAACCAGCGCTTGGCCACGACTCCAACTAAGCTAAGTGAAGACGCGGCCGATAGATAGAGCTCGCTAGCTCAATAATTGCAGATTCACCCTGCTAAAGCCATCGGGTCCTCTCACACGGTAATCGGCACGATGAAGCCACTCTCTAAATACTGTTTTATCAAATTTTTTTTGGTATAGTATCAATTCAATACGATAAGACCCAATCATAGGTGATACTTTTCAACTCAGAAATCAAATACCAAGTAGTTTTATCTGTACGATTCCACAACATTCTATCCAGTCGGCATCCTCTTGTGATTTCAGCTGTACCGTGCAGAGTATATTTCACAAAATTCTACTACGTCAAAAGCTTCTTGATACTGGCATATATTCAGTAAATATTTTTTAATTATTTTTTTTTATAATATAAAGCGGCAGACGAGTAAGTGGCCACCTGAATCCACCGAAATGGAAAGCGACAGACATCTGCTATTGCAGATGCGCTGCCTTCCCTTGATTTTGGAGGAGGAGACGCACATAAAGAGGACATTTACCCTTTTTATGTGTCTCCTCCACCGTAAAATCCACTTTTCCTCTTGAGAAAAGGGTGGAAAGGGAAAGGGACTAAAATTAGGCCTACGGCACCACACTTATCAGACGAAACGCGGAATTGCTTCCACTTCACGCGTGTTTTCTGTGTGGTCATGGTATTGTTGGGGGCGAGCCGACCTATTCGTGCCAAGATGTTAAAGCGGACTCTACCACTGTTACTTATGTAAGACCAGTGTCTTCAAAATTATCTCTGTGGTATTAATTTAGCGTCTGATGAGTGTAGAGACTCAGAGACCTAATTTTAGTCCACTTTCCTATCCCACCCTTTACTTATAAGATCAGGATGGTAAGGAAAAGATTTTTTGGAATGGGCAACTATGTAGGGATTACTTCGATAGGATTGTATCCTCTTCATCTGTCAATTAAAGGTAGGCAACGAATCTACGATTGCCTATTGGCAGAATTTGATCCGCTATTTCGGCGAATTTATGTAGCCGCTTACTGTCACCTTATGATTAAAAAATTTAATATAAAAGGTTAACACTTTTGCCTCCTATAACAAAATGATAAATGATTAAGATGTGTTGAGCGTACTATACACGACATTAGACGAATGGTACGATTAAGTGGAGAAAATCAGGTTGCCGTTATTGATACCATTGGTACTGGTCTCTAGTACTAATACAGTTGCTTCTTCTATATTACTTTAAGCACCTGATGAAAAAGTAGAGCAAAATATAAATTGTGCAAATAGTCTTATAAATAATTTAAGAAAATCAATATTTTATACTTTGCGAAGTCATAAGGTTAGAATTTGAATAATTTTAAAGCCTTGAATAACGAGCAATAATAGATTTACGATTTAGGATTTAATAATTTATTTCAAGGTAAATTTCGTGCTAACAAAGGTAGCCCGTTATATTTTACGTTACGAGCCCTAATTGTAGTTTTCAAGGTAAATAGTTTGAAATACTTGCTTCGATATTAGATTATCTTGGGTTAAGAATATTCTATGAATAATGTAATTTGACCGAGTAGCCTTAATGATAAAGGATTGTTATATTTGGCCAAAATAAATTTTCACCTGGTGTTGTTATTAAGTTATTTCAATTATTTAGATTATATTTTTGGGATTAAATACTATTTTTATATAGCTTAAATTTAATTCGTAAATTTTGCTATTAACATTTCGTAGGCGCCTTGTTTTACTAGTAGTGTGGTTTCTAAGTTTTTTATGTTTTCTGAATTAAACGTCGACCAATAACAGCATGTAAAAACTATG